GACACATGGAGACTTGAACCATTTCATACTCATTAGTGATGAAATGATTCGATTGCTTCCAAGTCCACCACTTCCCTTGATCATTCATGAAATGAAAGGAGGTTTGTGTCTTGCTTTGCATTTATTAAACTGGCACACTTTGGTTTACAACCATCATTGCAATAAAATTGCATCCATTGATGGTTTGTGAACCGAACTTGTTACTCCTTGATTTTCTCATGAAAATGAGGGGTTGAGATATGCAAACAAACCCTTGAAATACCTTGTATATGTCTGTTTTGTCCTCTATTGTAGCAAGATGAACCTGTCCCGCAGTGGCCAACAGTGGCCAGCAGGCCACTTCCCATGGCCAGCAGGTGCGCCAGCAAGGCTCATGGTTGGCCGGCAACCCTTCACACTGGCCGGCCGGCCACTGGATGCAAAATTAAGCGTGTGTTGGTAAGGTGGAGCAGAGTTGTTCTAGAAGTAGACAACAGTATTTGGTGTTCAACTATGAGCAAACAGAACGGCGAGCTTCTTGAGCAAACCCGGGTCTTGTTCGGGACGCTAAAGCAACGGCACATGAACATCCCCCTTCTTCCTGAGCGCAGAGTAGTTATTTGTTTAGTTTAATTTATTATTTTAATTGCACTTGCGTTGTAATTATTTAATTAGTTAGTTAACTAGTTAGTTAATTCAAGTGTTGTAATAATCAGTTAAATAGTTTAGCTAGTATTTCATTTCGGTTTGTAATAGCTAGCTTTAATTAGTTAATAATTAGTTATTCATTCGGATCTCTTCATGAGAGCTAATGTTGTAATAATGTGTATGTCTTCCAACCCCACGTCTTTCTCCCTTTTATTTACTAGTTTATGATGTTAGTTTAGGGACATCACGTTTTGTTTAGCATTCTCCATGTTTCATCTACTTGTATTACATGCACTGAGGCTCGGTTCATCATTCTAACTTGCATTGTTAGTTTAAATATTTCTTTGAATATGTGCTTAGCCGCATGTTATCAAATTGAATCATATGCCATATTAGTGCCGAGCCTAGTAATTGCATATCGCATGTGTTGCATAAGTTAGGAATCATGCATTTTTTCTAACTCTTTCATCTTTTTGGCTTGGAGTACTAGGTGAGCCTTTACTCGCTTTAGCATATCGCATGCGTGTGATTGTTGCCATGTTTTAGCATGCTTGCCATAAGCTAAATGCTTAAATGTTATAACTGCTTGATGCTTGTAGATGAAGGCCTATTACTTGAATTAGAAAATTTGAGTAAATGTTCATATGCGATCACTTTTTTCAAATAGTACATATTTCAAACAATTTCAAAAACAAACATGAATCAAATGTTCCAAACAAACATGAATCAAATGTTCCAAACAAACATGAATCAAATGTTCCAAACAAACACGAATCAAATGTTCCAATTCTTGCGAATTTAGTCTATACTTGTGTGTATGCGCATTAGATTGTAATGCTAGCCTAATAAATTGGAACAAGAGCATATAATGTACATAAGATTCATATCATGATTAGTAGAGGCCGATCTTTGATCGAGCGAGCGAGGGTGCTCAAATGTATTCATGACCTTCCCCTCTCGTACCCAAGTTCCCGAGTCGAGACAATCTTGGTAATGACGGACGCGTGGCCTTTCGCATAAGTCATGGGTTTCCTAGATTTTTCAAAAATATTTAGGTGGCAACTCTGTATCTGGCAAAGCAGTTCAATTTTGGCAATTTGATTCAAAATCGATTTTCCAAAAGATTTGCCGGATTTGGACCCTTTGGTGTTTATCAATTTCACATTGCACTTGTGAGATTAGATTCAAAACCGTGGAAATTCGAACTGTAGGGCTTTTATTTCGAACTTCCGAAAGGGAGGAGCGCGAAAAAGTCAAGCTACACACGCCCTCCTCCTTCTCTCACCAGTGCATTCTTCACACCTTTTGCTTTGAGTTCTTTTTTTACCTCCACAATAGAGTAATTTGGTTTGAGTCTCATAACCATGCTCTCATATAACCAACCATTTCCTATTTCTTCTACTCTGATAGTGGTTGTTGATTTACCTCTTGGTTCAACTCCTTTTATGACCTCTACAAACGACCTTCCATCAGTGCCTTGATTTCACCTTTTTGTTCCAATTATTTCTGATGGCCTTCTTGCCTCCATTTGCCTCCACTGTACTTGTTTCAGCCTCATTCTTTCACCTTTTTCTTTTCTATAATCTGCACTTTCGACTGTCAATGCTTTGTCATCTACCCATAGTCCATTTGCCTTTTGTTCTGCTACATTGGCTGCAACAGGCCAATCAAAGTGTACAAAACCAAACCTTATGTTTGTTGATTTGGGATGAATACATCCTTTACCACTCCAAACTTTATAAACAAAGCATACATACTTCTTGGTTCCATTGAATCATGTAAGTTATCCACGAACAGAGTGTACAAACCAACTCTTCTACCTTCATTCCACTTTCCTTGATTTGTTTGTCTTCCTCTATGTTTTACCACTGGAATCCATCCCCCATCTTTGCTGTGATGCTCCATCTTTGCTTTCCAAGTTTTGAACAGTAATAGTGTTGGAGCTGCATAAACCTCCAAAGGTAATAGGCATCAATAAAAATATGTCGTAACTTGTAATCACATAATATGGAGGTTTGTCATAACTTGAGGTTCCAGCAGAATCTTGTAGTTTTTGCAAAACATGTTTCACTGAATTTGATAGGGTTAACTCACCAAGTTGAGCAAATTTATAATTTTGCTTCCAAAAGCATGACACTAGCATGATGCTTGTCACTTATGTATGCATTTTCCATTAAAAAAACACTATAGTTGTAATCAATTGGATTAAATTTAGACGAAGTCATAAATTCAGGGTCAAAACTAAGTGAATCAAAATTATATGGACCAAAATGATACAAGGACCAAAATACAAAAATTACCGACGTAATTTGTCCAAAAATTATTTACTAAAAGGTGGGGGTATAACTTTTGCTATGATTTCTTTGCACAAAAAAAATTTCAACCTTCGTCTATTCGTAATTATTTTTAATCTTTTAAACTCATCTAAAAAATTTCAAAAAAATAATAAAAATTACCCGCACAAAACACCATCCCTCACACAAGTGTAGAGCCCACACCCTGAAATATGTTGAGTAACCCTTGTGAGAGAAGTGGTGCCTCATGTGGTGAATTTGTTTTTGTATGTGTAACATTATTGATTCTTTGGATACACATGTCACAAACCAAATGAGTGATAATAAGAGGAGAAAAATCATACTCTAGGTGCCAAGAATCAAAAAAAGAATTATGAGAATCCTATAATCAGGAATTTCACAAGAACTGATAAGTTTACTACATTTAGTTAGGAATTCTGTTTAGAAAAATGATAAAATTTTAATATTATAGGTTAATTGACTTTTTGTTTTCCTCCTAAATAGTTTGCATTGGGAATGTGATACCATGGGGAATGTGGAGGGTAAGATTCTTGCTTAATTTGAAAAAATGACTCCAACTACCGTATGTCATTTGAAATTATTTTAAGGACAAATTATGCTAGTAGATCTTATGCTTTTCCTTTTGTGTCAAATTGGTCATATAGTTTCAATTGTCTTGATTTTGTTCTTGAAATTTTGATTTTGTGTCGTTATATTCCAATTAAGAATGCTCATTTTTTTTTTAATTAAAGAAATTATGCACTTACACTACACGTGCGATCTTGAAATTATTTTGGTAGTAAGATTGATGATTGGGTAAAGGTGGTGGCAAGAACGGTGATAACTAGTTGAAAATGAGAGAGATGGGTTGTGGTGAATTTACTAATTTGCCCCTAGAAATATGGTAGGCACACATGGTCATTTTTTTTTTTTTTATCAAAAAATCTAGTGCATATGTTAGTGATTGGACCAAAGTAATACAAAATTAAAAATTCAAAGATAAAATCAAATTAATTGAAATTACATAAATCAAATTAACACAAAGAGCAAGATACAAAAACTATCAACATAATTTACCCATTATTCTATCAATCTAATTCATTTCAAACATTAAAATCGTAAATAATTAGAATCACAAGTGAGCTTACAGATATAGGCATTCAATTCCAACCATTCATATAGAAGAAAAAAATGGAAAAAATAAATGGAGAAGTGCACACTTCAATAAGTCCCCATTACATCTTAAAGACCCAAACCTAAAATCCTAAGCATGACTTGCAACCATTCAAAAAGAAGTCACAAAACATGCAAAGGAGCTATATGTTGTGAGAAATAAATATCTAATCCCATGCTCAATCATTTTTTTTTCTCTAATGATTTGCTTATCTTTTATGATCATGAGAGCATTGTTGGAATAAATTCATTCCTACTTAGAATTCTGTGTGAAAAAAAATACTTGTCAAACATTTCCTTATACCACTTTCTCTACCCACAATGAAACTTCAAAGCCATGTATATATATAAGCAATTGTAAGATCCAAAACTCATTTCACTACAAAAATTTCAATTTTTTGCAACGGTAAAATGTCGTCACTAATACTCCTAATGTCGTCTTAAAAAACTTTTAGTAATGGGAAATGACTTTTAGCGACGGCAAAGGGGAGGTCACAATAGAAGGCGTTGCTAAAACGTTTTAGTGACGTCATGGTGTCGTCGCCTTTTTTTTTGTGACAACAAATGTAGCCTTTTGCGACGACATTTTACTATCGCCTATAATAGGTAAAAAATTGAGACCTTTTGCGACAGCAATGTTGTACCGTCACTAAAAGTTTTATTTGAGAAGACAAAAGAAATGCTATCATGAAAGGTTTTTTTGTTGCAACGACATGACCTCTGTCGCCAATTTCTTTTGTGACGACATTACCTATGTCGCCAAAAAAATAGATTTTAGTTCTAATATTTTTTTGCAACGGTGTGGTGCCGTCGCCCAAAAAAAAAAAAAAACAAAAGAATCCTATAATAAAATTATTAAAACTATTAAAATTACCTATATTAAATGAAAAAGAGATCAATAATTGCATAATAATATAAAAATTCATGTATAGAAATAACAATTTCTCCATAATAAAAATATTCTTACATTCATAACCACACATCAGCAAAATTACCGCACTACATAATGCTCCATAATACATATATAATCTTTAAATACATAATGTTGTTCACAATTCAAAATAACATAAACCAAAAACAAAAGTTTTCCTCATCATTCTTTGTAGGTAACAGAAACAAAAGTTAATCGCATTCTTCACAGGCATGCATTCCACAAAAAGTAAACTTCTACTTGGAAAATATCTGAAAACAAAAAACAAGGATAATTAATGGCAATATAATTATGTATTAATATGTTAATTACAAAGAAAAAAAAAAACATAGAAATTTAACTACTATGCAATTACAACGATAAGTAAATAATTTTGCCTAGACCGAAATCCTGCTCTAACTCTCAAACTGAGAACCCAATTCAAGTCTCATCTTCTCCCACAAGTCTCTCATGCCAAAGCGGTCGTGTGTGCCAAGTTTCGTGCTAATCCAACGCCGTTTAGTTATTTTGAGGCGTCAACACCTCGAATTCTAAATTTCTTAAGGAACTAGTTTGCCTAGACCGAAATCCGATTCTAACTTCCAAACCGAGAACCCGATTCGAGTCTCGTCTCCTCCCACAAGTTTATCGTGCCTAGGCGGTCGTGTGTGCCAAGTTTCGTGCTAATCTGACACCATTTGGTGGTTTTGAGGCGCCAACACCTCGAATTCTAATTTCTTAAAGAACTAATTTACCTAGACCGAAATTGGGCTCTAACTCCAAAATTGAAAACCTGATTTGAGTCCCGTCTTCTCCCACAAGTCTCTCGTGCCTAGGCGGTCGTGTCTGCCAAGTTTCGTGCTAATCCAATATCGTTTGGTGATTTTGGGACGTTAACACCTCGAATTCTAAATTTCTTGAATGCAGTGACGTCTTAATTAAAACCAAGAGAAGTTACAATCTCTAATGTAATTATGAATCTTAAACTTTAAATTCTTGAACTATTTCATAAAGCATATATAAGAAAATCTTCTCCTCCAGATCCCATCAGACATGGATAACTAAAGACCATAGACAGAGAGACACTGATTGATATCAACATTGCTCTCACATTTTCATAAACAAATCTAGTTGAGACCCGCCTTCATATATTGAGATAGGTATTTTCTCCTTATAAACAACTTCATAACGTTTTTTCTAGATTCATAAAAATTATAACAACACAATGTGTCAAGTGTTTCCAAAACATCTCTTATGGGTTTCAAGAATCCATTCCTAGATGTTTGCCAATAACATTTAGTGTAAAAAATCCTTAATTGCATTTGTTGTTTGGAAAGAGAGTTTTGGGTAACTTTGGTGCAGACTAAAGAAACAGCAACATGGATAGTGAATACAAGCACATAGAAGATAACTAAAACATCACAATTAGAAATGGGTTACCTCTAAACCAAAACAACAAATATATAGGAACAATGCAAACATTTTAAATATCAGAGAAACACATAGAACTATCCCAATAGAAGAAGCTGATAAACCGCATGGTTTACACTTTACAATTAAAGACATTTTATGAAAGTTCAATTCTATTATACTAAGAAGACGATGCATATCTTTTTTTCATTGTTTTTTTCTATTTCCATAATCATTCGGACTTAGAAACAATTAAGCAACGTAACAATAAACTAAGCAACCCAACCTGATTGGGACACAAGGTTTAGTTTGGTATGATTATTCAGCTTATATAGTAATTAATTAACAACATATTTAGCTAATATAGTCATTGACATAGTTCTACTTAAGCCATAAAAGCACCAGACTTGATCTAAAATACATATACATAAGTCCACAAATCAGGCCTGAAGAAAATTTAACAGTTTTGCTAACTGCTCTGAAAAGAGCAAAATGTCCATTATCTGCTTCCAATCATGTACTACCTAAACTAATTGATGACATAACACTAGAAACTTCTATGAATGATTCAAAATTGTTCAGGAAGTAATGAATTAAGATAATAAAGGTTAGAAAAAAATGAATATACCTCAAGATTCTGCATTCAAACTCTTTGCTGTGAGCTAAGCATAAGTTTCCAAATGTTTCATAAAGCCCATCTGTCCCAGATAGCCTTTTCACAGAAAATTTAAAACTCAAGATAAAAGAATCGACAAGTAAAAACATCTTTAAACATTTAAAACATGTAAAATTAAGCAATGCTAAAATGGCACTCAACTCACTCTCTCTATAGATCTGTAAATGGGTATGGTTTTAAATTAAGGAAAATAATATATATACTTTACACCCACCATGAGAGCTCAATTTTCAGTACATGTGAAAGAGAGAGGTGATTGTAAAGAGATAGATGATGTCTCTTTCACTCCCTCAAGGTTTGGGAATATTTCTACTTTTACGTTGATTTAGCATCTTTGCTCTATGACTATACTTCCAAAGAATACGGTGGCACTTCCCCTAAAGTGTAGCCCATTCTTTCTCCAACTTCTAACATCCTTCTGCTGCATATTGCTCACTTCCATAATTATTAGAAAATGATCCCTTAATTTGAGATTGAATCTTCCAATAACCGTCATGAGTGTCTCTACTCACTATGAGTCTCATGGCTTAGCACTTTACTAGTGATGATCACATGAATTTTTACAATGTGGTCTCAAGGTTATTGGAATTTGATCCCAAATGTTTCATGTTTAAATAGTAGTTGCATTGAAGTTAATTTTTTTTTCCCAACTATGTTAAAGACATTTTTAGATCATCACTAACAGTTATGATCAAATTGACAAGGCTAATATCATTTTTTGACTAGTTACAATTTGCAAAGTTTCCTTTTTTCTTTTTCTTTTTTTTCATTTTTTTTGATAATGTTATTTCAGTGATATCAAGGTTAGATCTAGCCAAAAAACAAAGTCACCCTATCAAATTTCAACATCTTTACAAATGGTGTTGATCAGTGTCTAAGTTGTCCCCAATGTTTAGTTTTGAATTGAAAGGAGTTAGGCCACAATAGGCTAAAGTGTCTCTGCCCAGTGAGAAGAAGCCTCTTGAACTTTTGATTTTTGAATTTTTTTTTTCTTTTTTTTGGTAAGTAATTTTTGATTTTTTGTAAATCAAAAATAAAAACACAAAAGGGTAAAAGATCATTTGAATGTTTTTTTATTTTTATTTAAAAAAAAAAAAAAAAAAAAAAAAAAAAAAAAACTGAACATGCCAGTTAAATCAACTAGTAAGCCATGTTGGAGAAGTTATTTGGTGATTTTGGAGTATTACTCCATACCACTTATCTTAGGATATTTATTCCACCATGCCATGGGGAAAAAATACAAAAGTGTTGAGTCTTATTATTTTAGCCAATAAAATTGAAGTAGAAGCACTTTTTGTATTTAATCCTGAAGCAAATTAATTATGGTATAACATATGGCCAAACAATGGTCACTGATTCATTATGGCTCTGCTTGGTTGTGATTTGTAAACGTGTTTCTACACGTGCGTTTGAGTATGATGTTTGGTTGTTGTTTTGGAATCAATTTTCACGAGCTCTGCAGAGAGCTCTGTGCATCAGCCGCAAAATTTTGCCCAGGGGAAGACCGCCCGGACGTCCTTAGGGCTTCCACCCGGATGTCCTCCGCTGTACAGTTTTTTTTTTTTTTTTTTTGGCAATTGATTTATATAATTAGGAAAAATATTTTCTGAAATTTTTTAAATTTTTAATGTGCTTTGAAATAATTTTGAGTTGTATGTTTAGTTATGAGTTGTAAATTTTTGTATCACATATCAAATATCACATCAATAATTTCCCACTCAAATCAAACCTCTATTCAAAAACTATTTTCAAAACTATTTACCAAACAAATTTTCTACACTCAAATCATAATTCTACAACACACAAACTCAAAATACAACTCATACTCTCAAAACACATTTACAAAACACAACCAAACGCAGGCTATGTTTTTTTAATATTTTTATGTTTGTATCTATGCTCATGGAATGAGATATGGCTAAAGTTTAATTAAAATTCTGGTTCTTAAGTGTTGCAAAATTCATCATATTTTGGATCTTGTTTCTTTGTTTGGTTTATTTCTTGTCAAGTGGATCATAAATCAAGAATATTAATGGAAGCTTTTAAATGTCTAAGAATCTGTTTGGAATTCGAGGTGGATTTGAAGGCCCAATCACAATAGTAACTTTCTACTTAAACTCTGAATAAATTGGAGCCTTTATTTTTGTGTGTTTTTTCTTGTTCTGAAGATGCTTGAACATCTTGCAAGTGTATGAACATCAGAACAAAAGCAAGTTTGTTTTCTTATTTTATTTATTTATTATTATTATTTTTTTTAACATGACAGTATGGTTTTGCCTACTATAAATACCCAAGGACTGGAATTTTTTTTTTTTTTTTATGGTTTTGTATTTGTACATATGCTAAGAGATGAGATACGGTAACACAATTGAATTTTTGGTTTAGACAAATTCATAAGCACTTGGTGGACAATTTATGGAGGCAGAGACATGTGAATATCTTGTGTAGACATATTGTCAAACACATAGTAGGCAGATTTTGAAGGGAACACACCATGAATAAAACAAGAGCATGAATCTAGGGGTAAAAATCAAACAAAATACTGCATTGAAGATAAAATCAAACAAAGAAGAAGAACATACCAGGTATTTTGTTTGTTGCAGATGACACCAACGGTAGAAACAAGTGTTGTTCAGAGACAAAACTTGAGCTCGTCGATCGGCATTAACAGAGCGGTTGTGAGAGTTGAGAGAATAGATCCCGTAAACCCTAAACAAAAATGCTCTCTTCGGTGAAGACAAAGATCATAGGATCCAAACCCCAGGACTTCACAATAAAAGAGAAAGAGAAGATGGGTGATTTGGATATCAGAAACGTAGTGTGTGGAGAGTTAGAACTATTTTGATATATTTGATTTCTTTTATTTTAATATTTTTACTAGTATTTGGCGCTAGAGTTTTTGGCCTTGTTTGATTTGTGTTTCTCAAACAATTTTAAAAAAAATTCTTTACAAATAAGTTTTCAAATGTAATCAAACTAAATAAATTTTTTCAAAAAAAATTTCTAAAACTTGTTTGGTTTACAAATTTTTCAAACAAATCTTTCTCTCATACACATCAAATCAATCACTTTTTTCAAAACTCTCTCTCAAAATAATTTTACAAAATATTTTTTGAAAAAAAATCAAACCAAACAAATTTTTTTACTTTTTATCTCAAAACATATTTCTCAAATACAAACCAAACAAGGCCTTCCCCAAACAAAAGCTTAATTTTTTATCTTGGTTCAGGCCCAACTACTTTCCATTAATTTCCAAAACAAAAAAACAAAAAAAAAAAAAATTAAAACTATTAGGTGGTCCTGGCCGCCACCTAGCAACATGCGGCACTGCTCCCATCAATCTTCAAATGCCATACTCGGCGTTCTCCCATCACTCAACATGGCATTCTACCATCACTCCACATCAAATTTGATCTTATTTTTTTTTTTGTTAATCACAATGCTCATAGTGCACCATCTGGCCATACCGCAAATAATTACTATTATGTTCTTAATAATTCCGTTAAAATAAAGTTAATTTTTTATGGTCAGTGAAAATTATTTTTCTGTGACCCATTTTTTTTTGTTACTAAAAATCAAGAACTAATTTTTTGTGGTAGAAGAGAGGAAGCTGCAGTAGTGGTGAACGTGTTGGATAAGAGGTGATAATGATGGTAATAGCGAAGGAGATTAGTGGTGACGTTGTGGTAGTCGTAGAGGAGATGGAGTGGCGGTGGTGGAGGAGAGGCAATGGTAGTAGTAGTAGCAGTAGTGGCGGTGGTGGTAGTAGAGTGGTCAGGATGGTGGTAGTAATGGTAATCGTAAAGTTGGAATGGAATGGCATTTACAATATTGGTAAAGGTGGTAGAGGAGATGGGTGGTGAAAGAGAGAGAGATGAGTAAGAGACAGATAGAGAAGAGAGAGAGATAGAAACAGAGTGATGAGCAAGAAAGAGACAAAGTTGTCGCTAAAAGTGTATTTTCTTGTAGTGGATCGATAAATCGAAAGGGAGCTCGGTAAATAAAGAAGAGAAGAGGAAGAGAGTGAGCAACGCGAACACAGTGGGAGAGAGAGAGAGAGACAGATAGATAAACAAACAGAGAGAGAAAGAGATAGAGAGACACAAAAAAAGAGAGAAACAAGAGATGAGTGAGAGATAGACAAAAAGAGAAAGAAAGAGAGCGAAAAGAGATAAACAAGAGAGAAAGATAGAAAAAGAGAAATGAGTGAGAGAGAGAGAGAGAGAGATAGAGAAAAGAGAAATGAACAAGAGAGACTAAGAGAGAAGATAGATGAGAGAGATAGAGAGATGAGCAAGAGAAGAGAGATGAGAGAGACAGACAAACAGACAGGCAGATAGAGAAGAAGGATGCGTGAAAGAGAGAAAGAGAGGAAAGAGAGAGAGACAGGAAGATGAAAAAAATGAGTGAAAAGAGAAATGTTATATCAAAAGAGTAAGACGTCTTTTTTTTAATTTTTTTTTGCAATAGAAAAACACCATTGCATTTATTCAAACCATTTCGTGACTGTATATATATGAAGTCATCTCAAAGCCACAATATTTATTTATTTTTACTTTTTTTTTTTTTTTTTTTTGCAACAGTACCTATTACAGTGGCAAAAAACTCACTTTTTTTTTGCGACTGCAACTGGTGTCGTCGCAAAAACTCTATTTTTTGCGACGGCAATCTCTGCTGTCGCAAATACTCTCCTTTTTGCGACAACATTTTTTGCATCGCAAATACTCTATTTTTTTCGCGATAGCAAATTGTGCCATCGTAAAAACTCACCTTTTTCACGACAGCAAATTGTGCCGTTGCAAAAAGTCACTTTTTGAGATAGCAAGTGTGCCGTTGCAAATGCTTCCATCTTTTAAGCCCATTTTTCTTATAGTGTATACATGAATTTAATTAGAAAATTAAATGTAGTCTAAATTTATTTTTTGGTGTGGATTTAGCATACGAAGTTGAATTTAAATGGATAAATTTTTGCATATGAGCTTTAAGTCTATAACTTTATCATGCACAATCAGGATTTTGGGCCTAGTGGTTATGTTATACCACTTTGTGGTATAAGATTGTGAGTTCAAATCTTATGAAGATGGGTTTCACATTTTTTATTTGTCCATTATTATGAGAATTGTATTATGTGACTATTGTTAGGCTAGTTAGTTTTTTGGAGTTGGTTGTTGGATTTGTTGGGTTGGGCTTATTGGTTTCGATTGTTGTTGGGCTAGATAGTTTCTTTGAATTGATTGTGGGATTTGTTGAGTTAGGCTAAATTGTTTCTTTGGATTGATTATTGGATTTATAGATATATCATTGTCCAATTTTATACAATTAATCTCCTATCAACTGAGAGAGGGAAAAAAATCGTATATGTAGGTTTGATATTACATTGTTGAATCTATTTAGAACACTAGTTCTAAAAAATCTTGGATTCAAAGGTGTCTCCCACCCCCTACAATCTTGGATCTATTGAATAAATCATGGATCTATTTAGAACACTAGTTCTTTTTCCTTTTCTGATTCAATAAATGCTACGAGTTTTAGAAATACAGATTGAAGTCGCTTTCGATAAGTAGTATCAACAAAATTTTTAAAACATCCACCGTAAAATCAAATGACGCACAGTGATTGTATAGTAACTTTTCTATTAAAAAATTTGATTGCATAGTAAAATCTCCCCAAATAATATTTATATTAGATATGAAAAAATATATACCCCTTTTAAAAATTTTATAGTTGTTATAGAGATTTTAAATACACTTTAATAAAAAAATAAATAAATAATCCACCACTCCATGTGGGTATATCAAATTTGTCAAAAGAAGACAACCCATCAAATTTGTCAAAAGATGATAACCAACTAATATCACTAGGGGTAAGCAGCGAATATACCGATCCGCCAAAACCGACCGAACCGATCCGATCCGCCGCATTTTGGACGGATGCGTGATGACGAACGGACGGTTGCGGATTGATTTTCTCCAATCCGCCAATTTGGCGGACATATGGCGGATTTGAGATTTCTTTGGCCGCAACCGGACTGCCAAACCGCGAGCACCCCTAGTAATTTATAAGACTTTGTGTTTTCAATTTGTTTAAATATTATGTTTATGTTTTCAATTGTAAAAAAGTTTAAATATTCCGTTGAAAAAAAGTTTTCAACTTTAATATATTTTTTGAATTGAAAAAAATAAAAGTATTATTTATCTATATTTTTTGATTTTTAAATCTAACTCTAAAAATAATAAATAGAAAATATGATATATGCTGGTTGGTTTTTATTTTCAAAAACATATATAGATATAACAATACAAAGACATACAATCTCTACTATTGCTCTGTTCATGGTTTTGGTGGTATGAATTGTTATTATATTTTAAGAACCACATATTATAATACTTGTGGATGAATCATTCTGTGATTGTAATATGTAGATGAGGCATGCAATGATCGTGATATTTTAAAGCTTTAAACTTTCTTTCTTTAGATAAGGCATACAGTGATTGTAATACTTTTTTAAGTCATTGACTGTAATACTTTTTTTTTTTTTTTTCAAATAATATTTATATTAGATATGAAAATATATATACCCCTTTTAAAATTTTTATAGTTGTTATAGAGATTTTAAATATACTTTAATAAAATAAATAAATAAATAATCCACCACTCCATGTGGGTATATCAAATTTGTCAAAAAAGACAACTCATCAAATTTGTCAAAAGATGATAATCCACTAATATCACGTTTGTCCAAATAATACAACCAATTAATATCGAATTTATCAAAAGAATACAGCCCACCAATATCAAATTTGTCAAAATATGAATAGTGATCAGGCAGATTTTTCAAAACGTGAATAGTAAAATTTTTAAAATATTTACGTAAAATCAAATCTTGCATAGTAACTCCATTTAAATAATACTTATAGCAAATATATCATACAACATATATTTTAAACAAATAATATTTTGTGTCAAAAATTATAAAATATGTATATTAAAAAATCACAATTTATCAATTAATATTTTAAACATTATCAAAATCAAACCATATGATTAACAATCTCCCACTTTTTTATAATGGCAATACAAGTATGAATTTGACACAAAATTTTACATGAATAAATGCAACAAAAATATTCAACAATCATAATACATGTATTATATTTTCTCCCCCTTTATTAGCAAATTGTTTATCAAATAAAATTTATATATAAATCATATTTCTTCTCCTCATTTAACATCATCAAAATAAAAGGTTAATACGGGTAATGAAAATCATTTACCTTTTGAAGTAAATGCAACAACAAATATTTAATAATAAAAATGCAAGTATTTATTAGAATATAAAAAACTCCCCTTGAATTAATGCACACAAAAAAATAAATAAATAACACTATAGATTACCAATTAATAATACCAAGGGCCATTAAGATCCAGCCATATACAACTGCACCAAGTGCACTGGCATAAAAAGAAAAAATACAAATGAAACAAATTTCTTCATGCCAAATAGAAGCAATTGTTATGTAATAAAGAAGATTTTTTTGCGCATATAACCATACAAGAAATATTACAAGTTGAAAAAATAATTTTAACATTTTGATCGGTAGTGATGGTGTAGATCGGCGATGATGGTGATGATGGAGAAGAACAGGGATGAATTTTGTGTAAATCGGAAATAGTTTTGTGTAGATCGAAGACGGATGTATGTAGATCGAAGATGGATTTGTGTAGATCAGAGATAGATGTAAATGGATGATTATGGTGATGGAGTTGGTGGCGGATAATAGTGGGGATGAAGGTGGTGTCGGAGGATGAGATAGAGCAAGAGTAGGTGAGAGAGATTATAAAA